ATGCCAAACGTCCTCTGGGGACAAAGTCACTCCTGGCCAAGAACTATTAAGATACAGCCTGCTTGCTATTCCCTTCCCACCTTCTGGATGCTTTTGAAAGTCTTTGAGCTTACATCAGACTCTATGAACTGGGTGAACACACTTCCTTTCTCTTCACATGCTGCCAATGGGAAAGAAGAACCGCGGAACTCTTAAATTCACAGAAGAATCTTTAAAGGACCAAAACACTGGAGACTAAGACCAACTCAGTAGCAACCTGAGAGTTCTAGGGTAACTTTATCACATCCCATCTGATATTAGGAGCCCTGGTGGCGCAGTAGTTAAGCACTTGGCTGATAACCAAAAGGTTGGTGGTTCAAACTCACCAGCTGCTCTTCAGGAGAAAGACGTGGCAATCTGTTTGCGTAAAAATTACAGCTTTGGAAACCCCATGGGGCAGTTCTACTCTGTTCTATAGAGTTGCTATAAGTCAGAATCAACTCAACAGCAATTTTTTTTTAAGGTAATATCAAACCTACCACAGCATAAAACAGGGCCATTGGATTTCCCCATCTCTTTAAGGAACAACCAGGAAATCACCTTTCTCTTTGTGTACCACTGAAGTTAGAGATGCTGTTTAGAATGTGTTAGAAAGTCCTCTAACACACACTCAGCATGGAGATCATAAAAAGAAAAGAAGAATGTCCAGGGTCCTAGAGTTAGCCCTGAGTTTTGTTCAAGAGGGAACTGAAAATCTTCGGCTTTCTTGTCTATTACATATTTGGAATCTTCTCGCCTCTTTGAAGGTAGTGGCTGGTCGCCCTTGTCCCTGTAATAGAGAGTAGAGACATGTGTTTAAATTCCTCTTGCTTGTGTTTATCTTGAATCATTATTCTTAATGGAAAGGATCAGCAATCAGGGGTTAGACTTCCCAGTGCTTCCAGTAAAACTCTCTGGGACTTTGCCCTCATCTCCACACAAGAGATTTAAAATGTAATCAGAGGAAGCAGTAGAACAGCAAGATGAGCTAAATGCTATAAATTTTCAAGACAACTGCTGTGGAGTTTTGTTGGTTTAAGAGAAAATACTTTTAATTTGAAATAGTTTTGTAACTCTGAAACCAATTAAGTTAACCACTTTTAAAAAAGAAATACCAAAGGTGGGGTAAGCAGTTAATACTTGGACAACTAGTTGATTACTTTTAAATCATTTCAAGACATGAGGCTCACAGCCTCCTCTCCATTTTTATCCACTTCCCTACTGACCTCCTCCTTCGTAACCTTTTTTCTCCTGGATAAAAAAGGCAACGTGGACATAAAACAACATCAAGCTTTTCTACCCTCTCCCCACCTTTCCAGTGAAAGATAGAATTCTCTGTGAGGGTCAGACGATTTAAACCAGTTGCTGTAGAGTCGATTCTAACTCATGGTGACCCCATGTGTATCAGAGTAGAACTGTGCTCCATAGAGTTTTCAATGGCTGATTTTTCAGATGTAGATTGCCAGGCCTTTCTTCCAAGGCATCTCTGGGTGAACTCAAACTGCCCACCTTTTGGTTAGCAGCCAAGCGCAATAACTGTACCATCCAGACCTGTTTCTTTTGCCTGCCACACGCAAGGGGTACTTATAGATAATAATATTTATACTTGTAAAGCACCTACTTTGAGCCAGGTCCTGATCAAATTGCTTTTAAATATTAATTTATTTAATCCTCAAAACAGACCTATAAGGTAGATACTATTATTATATCCATTTTACAGTTGAGAAAAATCAAAGAACCTTAGATAATTTGCTCAAGGTCACAACAGCTAGGAAGTGGTGGAGCTGAGATTTGAACCCAGACCATCTCACTCCAGAGTCTGTGCTCCTAACCACCATGGCCAAGGTCTATTGTGCAATTGCTGTGTGCTATGCAGGCTTTAAACAGCAGAGCTGAATGGAAGACTGCCTGGCTTCTAAGGACACGTCTCTAACTGGTATGCTGTATACCGTGTGACACAGAATAAATATCGTATACTTGCTTTTTAGTGGAGGCAGAATTATGATGGCATAGTGCCCTCAACCTTTGTTCACCATTTCTTCTCCACTTTTATACTGTCAAGAGAACTGACAAACTGGTCACACCAAGGTA